TAAGCAGGTAGAACCTGTCTAACACCACCCTAAAAGTAGCTTTGAAGAATACTAAAATATAAAACAAATGTATATGTACGTGTACGTACGTACATACACACACACACACACACACAGAGCCTACGTAAAAACTTAAGTTCTGATAGCCAACTATTCCTCTTTTGTTATAAAAAGTAATCATAGGACAAGAAGAAAATCCAAACTAAAACTGTGCCTTTCTCTCCCTTGATCTGGAGATTTTCCACCTTAACTCTTGGGTGGGGTTGCATTCCTACACTCAAGACCAGTGCATAATCTGGGGAACAGCTTGGACTCATTGCTTGTGATCAAATAGCAGTGAAAGGCAAGAAGACCTTTAGTCAGCTATGAATGGTGGCCAATTGCATCCATTTTTAGAAGAGGAACTCTCCAGGTCATATAAGCCATAGTCACCCCACAGTTGCAATTCTCTCTACATGAGTGTGTGCTTGACGGCCATTCATGGTACCAACAGTGTTGAATGTATCTTAGTATGCCCATGTGATACCACTGCTTCATGAGCTTCACTTGTTATCTGTGAGGTTCTGGAGTACAATTTGTGGTATTGGCTCTCACCTAAGAAGACACTAATGGATATGACCAATTTATCTGAGGAACCTATCTCTCATGGTTTCTGCTCATCTGGTAAGATTTGCAGGGTTCATATGCTTCGGATCCCCTTGATTAGAAATGACATTTAGGAGGATGTACAAACCAAGACTTGTCCAATATGGTGTCTTCTCTGAAATGATATTTCCTGCCTCCAATATCCATATAGTTTCCATCCCAATAATGTTCTGGAAGAAAATTTTCCAACGCCGTGGAATCTTCAGTGCAGGAATGGCCAGCCTTTGAGCAATCAGCCCAAATTCCTGATCTTCTCAGAACCACATGAGACCATGCAATCACAAGACAATCCCAATGGAAGATGCATGGCTAGAACCCATCCCCATCCTGCTCAAAGTTGTACAAGGCAAATCCAGATATTTTGTTATCAAATTTCAGCAGCATGATCTCAGACTACAAATGAATTGCTTTGTGTCTACGGAGACCAGTCCATCAGTGATTTGCTATGGGACATAAAAAAAATTAGAGAAATGTTCTGAATGAGTCTTGAAGGAAAGTGTGTACCCTCAGACAAATTATGTCTGAGCTTGGGCTCTTTTAAACACCACTTTTCCATTGGGTAATTAATAATCCTTTCATGGGTGGATGATGCTTTCCACTATAAAAGCATACATACAGATCATGCCAAAGTCACTGCATTTGAAAGTTACAGATATTGCTGTGGCTTGCAAAACTACTTATTTGAAATGTTGACAATGTGCAACATTTGAATCAGAATTCATCATTCTTAAAGTACATCTATAGAAATCAATGGGACCTTAGCTTTACATAACTAATATCGTGTTTCCCGAAAATACGACATGTCCTGCTAATAAGCCCAGGCCTGATTTTTGAGGTGGGTGTAAATATGCACCCTCCCCTGAAAATAAGCCCTAGTGAAAGGGTGCCATGGCAAGTACAGGAGGAAGCCCTTCTCTTCCCGTCACCTCAGCGCTTCTCGGCTCCTTAATCGGATCAGTTGAGCCGATCTGGCTGCCATTCAAAACAGCGAGAAACACGACGGAGCTGTAAGTCTTGGGGAGGATGCATGTCTCTCAGCCCAACTCCTCCCACCCCACCCCAATGCTGCTTCCCTTCCCCACCGTCTCTACTTCCCTTCCCCACCGTCTCTGCTTCCCTTCCCCACCGTCTCTTTAGCAAGACAGGTGGCAGGTGGGGTGGAGGAGAAGTGAGAGGTGTGGAGCGAGACATGGCTTCTCTTGTCATCTCTTTTCACCCCCCTCGCCAGGCATGGCAGGCTTCCTCTGCAGCTTCCAAACCATGGCAGAGAGGAAACAAAATGCTCACGCCTGGGGATGAATCAGACGCTTCACTGGAGAAACTGCCCCACGCCAACCAGGCTTCCTAAATCTCTCACTCCCCAGATTGTCCCCCTCGCAAAGAAAGCCCAACCCAATGCAGGGCAGTGACAGGACATGTCAGAGCAGTGCCGGCCAGCCGACAAAATAAGACCCCCCCCCCGATAATAAGACCAAGGCCATATTTCGTGGGACAAAATAAAATAAGACCCTGTCTTATTTTGGGGAAAACACGGTAAGCCTTACTGATTTCCAATGGGCCTTCTCTAATCATAATTGTCTGGATGCAACTTATAGCATAAAATACATCTGAAATAAAGTTTTAGATACATAAATATATTAATATCACCAATGGGACCATAAAAAGGAATATAGTTACTGAACTAAATAAACTGCATCAGAAATAGGAAATTTCAAGCAGTCGTGCAAAGTGTTCTGTGCAGAAATCATGCAAACCCATTACCTGCCTCCCCTTTCCACTTCTGAGAAGAAAAACAGATAGGTAAGAACATCTTCCTCCCAATTTTCCATTATTAAGAAATAAAAAATTAACCAACTGAGAGCTTTCTATGTATCTATCAGCATTCAGTTAAGATTTTAAATATCTTTAAAGTAGTGTATGCTTATTTTATTGAACAAAATTTGATAATGTAGCAATAATACCACTGAATTAATTGAAACAAATCTAAAGATACAGAAAAACACTGTAAAAGACATCATTTGAGGATATTTTATTCCATCCTGTTCACAATACCAAAAGAACAGAAATACTTTAGTTTTGCACAATTACCCAAATTGAGACCCGGGATATTGGAAATATGTTATCATTGTAGGAGATGATTCTATTTTACTTATTTATTATATTTCTAACCTACGTTTCAGCATCACCACAAACTGGCTTATAAAACTGCAAAACAATATAAAAACATATCACATATCCCACCCCATCCCCTATTCAGTATCTTTGAAGATGCTCTGCTATCAAAACAAATCAAGAATTTTCAGAAAGTGAATGGATTAATGGATGATGAAGTGGTGGAATTGCCACAGATAATGAACTTGACAGTTTTGATGAAAGCAAAGACTTTGACAAATATTATTTCTACTTGAAAATCACTTTGGGGACTTGATGATTAGAATTATATGGGATTATGGAAATAACATAGACAATTGTTAATCTTAGATCAAAAGTTTGATATATTTTACTTTATCTGTATGAAAAAAAATGGAAAGCCTTTTCTATTTTCCTTTTTTTGCACTTTCACTTTTTTCTGCTCTGACATTTTCGTTTTCAGATCTTGTTTTCTGCTTATCTTTTAACTTAGTATAGTATAGTATAAATCTTTATTACGGTCAAAGACCAGCAATAACATTACTTTTTACATTATGTTAAAAAGTACTGACATTAAAATATAATTAAAAAGTACTGATGTTAAAAGTGGATAATAACATACAAGTTCTCAAATTGTTCGGGTCACTCCCTGGTTTACCTGGGTGAAAAGCTGATAAGTATGTGAGTAAATACAATGGTCCAGAAATTGTTAGAGATATGTCCAAATAATTGGTACAAGATGACAACTATATTTCTGTAACCAACTTTTTTCTTGTGGACATTGCAGCAACACAGAATTTTGCCACTGCATACATGGTGGCCGGGTGTGTGTCCTGGAGGAGAAAACCTACATAAAAATTGTCTGCCCTCCTTGGCAATCTCTCTAATAAGGGAAGAATATGCGCAGACCTACAAACTCTGTATAGCTCACAGTGTAATAGAACATGTGAGATATCTTCAACTTCTCCTTTACCACATATACAAACCTGTTCTGCTATTGGTGTTCTCTTATATCTGCCCTGGAGGAGTGCTGAAGGAAGAATGTTAAATCTGGCTCTGAAGAAAGTTATTCTTTGTTTTGGAGAGATCAGGTCATTTAGATATCTTGCCGATTCCCACACACCGTTTGATTCTGTCCCTACTGTGGAGAGGCAACCTATTTAGTTTTTCTTGGAACTCCATGTCCTTCATTCTATTGATTACTACTTGCTTTGCTTGATCAAAGCCTAGAGACATTAAGAATACTGGTGAGAGCTCATAAGAGCCCAGCTTGTGATCAATTGCCTGTTTCTAGGGGGAGGGGAAGTTGTCAGACAACAGTAGTGGGGACAGTCGCTCTGGAAAGAAATGCATTTTAAGCCAATGAATTATCATAATCTTCCAGGCTCTTACCTGAATTTGAGGCATGCCTGTCTCAATTCTTAACTGGGCATTTGGAGTTCCTTTGGGTGCAGATAAGATGGCTCGCAGGAATTTGGTTTGTATGGTGTCTAGCAAGTCTTTCTTTGCAAGGATTCCTGTTTGTGCCCCATATAGAATTTGTGCCAATGTTTTGGCCTCAAAAAGTTTTAAGGCAGTAGGTACTAACTGACCTCCGCCTGTGTAAAAGAAGTGTTTAATTGCATTTGAGGACCTATTGCAATGTATGAGCCAGATGTGTCTTCCATGTCTCTTGCGAGTGGAAAACCACCCCAAGGTATCTAAATGTTCTAACCTGATCTTTTAACTTAAAAATCAATAGTTATATAAAAAAAGAATTTTCAGAAAGTGTCATGGCTCATTTTCTACCCCAGGTTATAATGAAATGACTAGTTTAATCAAGAGGCAGGAGCCCATGTGAAACTTTCTTACAAATACATTTATTTCATTCAGTTTTCCTCAACAAACCTTAACAGACTCAAAACGTTCCACTGAAATTCTCTTCTTAAAAACTATTGTAACTGCTTAGTATGGTCATATCCTAAATTAGATAAGCTCCTAACCAAATATAAAAGTTTTAGGACATAGTAATATTCAACACATAATGCTTCTCCTATTATGTCATCAACAAAGTTACAATTATTTAATGTCAGTTTTTCATCTAATATAGTCACTACAAAAAAAGCCAACCTGTGTTATACACTATTTTTTTTGGAAACATCAATAAATCCCTAGTAGTTGCATTAACAGAACTGATTAAAGGAGGAGACATTTAAGAAATTCAATTATTTATGGAATGTACTTACATTATTGTTGCGTGTCTCTACAGCTGGAAATTTTCTGACTATGAATTTAACAGCTGATTCCAGATTTTTATCAACAAGATATGAAGGTTTAGCTTTTGGGTCTCCACAAGCCTATGGAAGAAAATAAAAACAAGAAACTAAAGATATACTCTTTTCACCAAGCATTTATTATAAATAATCTGCAATAAAGAAATAGAAATATCTCTTTGGCTTCATAGTGAAGTGAAAAAAAAAATGAATGAGGATTGTCACAGCTGGACAATGCAATGAGACACAGTACAGAAATGTTCTCCTACTGGGGAAAAATGTGTGGACATTTCAAAGCTGTTAATGCAGAACTGAAAAAGCAATCTTGAAAGAAACTGATATTTTCCTTCTATCAGAAGGTGAAGTAGGTTTATCTTTAATCGCTATCCTGAATTACTGAAGCTTAAACAACTGGCAAAAAATAATCTTCATGGGCTTATTACATTTTTATGTCTCATCTGAATCAAAGAAACAAGCAGCTTAGAGTTAGCGTTGGTCTGCCTACAATTTGAACAATCAACACTAGTGTGCATTTAAATGTACTGTAAATGAAAGCAAAAGTTTTAATGAAGACACATTTAAACTGTGCTTATCGGTTCCACCACAAATCCGTGGTAGACTAAAGCACGCTCGACGAAAGCGCGTACGTGACGTCATCACAGTGCGACGAAAACGGCACGCTGTGAGCGGTAAATTTAAAATTAACGCGAAAACCTTACCCTAACCCCCCCAAACCTAACCCTAACCCTAACCCTTAACCTAACCCTAAACCTAACCCTAAACCTAACCCTAAACCTAACCCTAACCCTTAACCTAACCCTAACCCTAACCCTAACCCTTACCTTTATGTGAATTGGCTTGCTTTAATTTTATTTTAATTTAATTTATTTTTAATTTTATTTGTCGCGCTGCTGATGACGTCACGTACGCGGTTTGATCGGGCGCGCTTTAGTGGACCGCGGTTTTGACGGGTCACGGTGCTTATCAAGGTTACCTTTAGGCACAAGTTTTGCACCTGCAGCCACATTCAGTATGCTCTGACCTACAAACACACCACATGCCCCACACAATTATTTCTTTCATAGAAATCAAATCCTAAATTGGGCTGGGGATCCAGTCGTACTATTCTGAAATATACTGAATAATCAGTATGGTGAGTGGTAGGAACAGTTCTCAATTTGACTAGTACTGATCATTTGCTTCCAGCCTAAAGAATTATGTTAATTTGAGTAACCTTAATTTTATCTAAACTTCTAATCTCAAATTTGTTAACATAGTAAGGTTTCAATGGGTTCTTACGGATTTTTATGATGACCCAGCTGGCCATCACTTTGCATAATGCAGTAATTATCCTTAACTGCTAAAGGTAAACCTTTCCTTAAAAGTACAATTTTCTAGTTTAAAATGAAGTCAATCTGGGAGAAGTGGCACATAGTAAAACTATGCCCAAAGTACAATGAGCAAATTCAAATTAAGAAAATTTGTGCAGTAATTCTAATTTGACGCCAATACCTGTTCGTCAACATAAAATTCTCATGTAATCTGTCTCATGCAAATTGTAACATGCTGCACAATTTATACGATATAGTGAAAAGCCAGGATGGCAAGTTATTATTATTTACAGTTGTGAGTAATAGAGAGAGAGAAATCATGGAAATATGAGGCTGATCTGAAAGCGGGCAGAGGGAAGGTGAAAAAGTTTGCAAACCTTCCATACTTGTCCTTGCTGGGGAAGCATTGTAACGGAAACAACAACAAAAAAGAGAAGATTACACATAAACAAAAGTTGTTTTTTTTAAAAAAATCCCATAAACATCATGTTCAGGAATGCATACTAAAACTATTAACAGAGTTAAAGCAAAAACTTGCTACTCACAGTCAACATTTTAACTATCTCCATTTACATATAGGTTATTTAAAAGATGTAAATCAGAATTTTCAATACAAACATGTCTCATGCCACATCCCAAAGTGCCATTCTGAGGGACGAGGAAAGGGAATTGATAAATTGATAGTGCAAGAAACTTTCAAGAACTCTTAGTGAAAATCTTACATACCTGTAATAGAAATAAAGAGCCAAGAACTCGGGGGTGGGGAAATCCCAGTCATTAAAGCAGATGTATAATTGTTATTGAATATAATTTGCCATAAGAGCTTCATGAAGATATTTAATATCAGGTTAAAATTTTCTCTAAACAGCTAGTCAATACGCCTGTTTCATACACAGAAGAAAAATGCTACTTGTTTTAAAATCAACTACATGTAGTTCTCGACAACCACAATAAAGTCCAAAATTTATGTTGCTAAGCAAGACAACGGTTAAGTGAATTGTGTCCCATTTTACGATCTTTTGCCCAAAGTGGTTAAGCAAATCATTGCAGTTGTTAAGTAAACCAACCAGTTGTTAAGTAAATCTGGTTTCTCCCATTGATTCTGCTTGTTGGAAGCTGGCTGGGAAGTTTACAAATGGTGATCACATGATCCTGGGATAGTGCAACTGTCATAAACAATGCCAATTACCAAGCATCCGAATTTTGATCATGTAACAATGGGGATGCTGCAACTGTCATATAAAGACCGGTCATAAGTCACTTTTTTTAGTACCATTGTAACGTTAACAGTCAATAAACAAATAGTTGTTTATAAGTAGAACGAATACTTTTTAAAAAAAATTAAAACAACTTTTTAACTTAACACAATTTTCAAAATTTTCTGGATGGGAATTTCGGTGGGAACAACTTATCTGAAGGGGACCAAAAAAAAGTCTAGTCTAATTCCTAAACAGTCACTGATAGAAGACCCTAAACAATTCTATTCTCTTTCTCTCTAGATAATAATGTATGTCATATTCGTGTATAAATGAAGCACTTGCCTTCAGATATAGAAAATCTGCCAAATTAGTAAGAGTAACATATTCTATCTTGCAAATTACTTTTGATCTATTTCACATAATTTAAATAATAAATTCCAGAGAAAAAATGAGTAATCTTATTGCAGATCACTAAATAGTTTAGTCCCTCCTTCTATTTAATATTTTAAACCAGCAAAATATTCAAAATTATGAATTAAGATAATGTAAAGTTTATTTGAGAAATATCAATTAAGAAATAACCTCTGCCAAGAATATGCATAATTATAATAAGCCATATTATTATGGCTTATTTTTTTAATTAATTAAATTAAAATTTAATTTTAATTAAATATTCCTAAATTCTAAAACTAACCTGAACTAAGGATTACAAGATAAAAGATAACAAATTAAAAACTGTTAAAAATATACAATTTTGCAGGGTTTGTTCATACTGTATGTATGTCTTGTAATTATTTCTAATTTTAAATTGAATTAATCTTTGATTTTGGACTGATCTCTTTGTTTTATTGATATAGATATTCTTCGATTGAATTTCAGCCACAAAAGGTGTACAACTTTTCAAATTCTCCAAAACTTCAACTTGATTAATAATTCATGAAGATTCAAAAGCTTGCACTTTTGAAGTCCACTGCGGCATTTCTGATTAACATAATCAAGCTACAACCCAGTTGCAGACTTCGGATTTTAAAATCAATTTGGATTTTAAACATTATTTCCAATTGCAGGGTTAAATCACAAGAAAAAAAGATTCTGAAATAATTCAGCTAGACTCCAGAAAACCATATTTCTAGCTACAATTCCTCTATTCAAACTGCTGACTTCCTCTCAACTATAGTGTGAAAACCACTTCTGAAATTCAGGACAGTTGTTGAGGAGAATGTGTTTAAAAATATGTTTGTGGTAAGGCATGTGGTTCTGCTGTGGTTTAAAAAAATCAGAACCAAGAAGCTTGACTTATTCAGCTCCCAGTCACACCTTAAGCATCCTTTGGCAGCCTAACAACAAAAACTATTTGTAGAAAAGGCTTATAGGGCCATAAGACACCTAAGGGTCTCGTGTTATGCCATTAAAACATTGTTTATATATCATGCAAAGAAGCATTTTAATTAACAACTCAGGAAATAGCATTTTAAAACGATCTTTATTACAAAGGCAAATTGCCTCTTCTAGTAAAGTCTGAACCATTACTGTTCTGAAACCAATGTGTTTCATTCTGTAGGGTTAACAATTACTGTGTTTCTTTAGTGCATACAATCAGGCAAAAATGCTGGAACATGAAAACCACAGGAGTGCCTCCTAATAAAGATTTCACACTATCTGCATCCCAAGCATACAGACTGGTACAAACAGCCCTTTCGCAAATATTACTTTTAAAGCTTCAGACACCGTTTTGAATCTAAAAGGCAACTGAGCGTAGCATGTTTCAGAGGAAACTGCAACATTAGTCCACACCTATTATTCACCAACTTTTCCTAAACTTTTATTGAAAGCAAAAGAAAGCTTTAACGACCGCAGTAATACTGAAATTCCAGTATTTTAGTAGCTATTACACAAGTTACTATAGCATATGTTTAAATCAGACATATTTTTGCATGTTGATCAAGTTTATATATTTATTTATGTCTATATTTATTTTATTCCACCTTTAATATTCTTATAAATAACGCAATGCAGTGAATGTACCTAATACTCATTCCTCCTACCCTGTTTCCCCTAAAATGACTCAATCGGAAAATAAGTCCTAGTATGATTTTTCAGGATGCTCGTAATATAAGCCCTACCCAAAAAATAACTCCTTTAAGATCGTCAGTCAGATGGATGTATTACCATATTTCCCCAAACATAAGACCTAACTGGAAAATAAGCCCTTATGCATCTTTTGAAGCAAAAATTAATATAAGACCCAGTCTTATTTTTGGGGAAATACGGTAATAACCCGTCCTCCTCCTCTTTTGTCCTCAACAACTCTGAATTGAGTTGAGCTGAACTGGGTGTGTGGGACTGGACCAAAATCCGGCTTTCATGTCTAAGGCAGGACTAAAATTCAAGGTCTCCCAGTTTCTATCCTGGTGCCTTAATCACTAGACCAATTACACATTGCACTAAGCTATAATATGCTTTATTTAGTTTTGTCTTAGCATGTTGCTATGAACTCAGGTATTATGGTGCACAAATTATTCTCATTGAATATACGCAAAATGGCAGCTTATTAAGTCATGGGTTAGCAAAACCAACTGTGGGATTATATTTTAGAGCAAAAACCTAAAATGTCCAAAGCAGGCCTAATTAAGGTCTGAGAAATCCATTAACTGAAAGTATCTAACTTTTAGCTTCTTGTAACAAAGCTTTCAGAAATAAACAAGTTTATATTTTTAAAAATGGCTTGAAGAAAATGTTCCTTCCAGGTAGAAGCAACATATATGATATTACTGGATCCAAGATTAATACTATATTGAGACAGGTGAACAAAGAGAATGATAATGCAAAAAATATATATTTCTACATTTCACAAATTATTTAATGTATACATACAGATTCAGATTCTACATGAGTTCTAAAAATGTATTATGTACTGCCAACTTCATATTTTAATTCACTTATAGACAGTCCACTAGACTAGATAATATCAATTTGCAAAATAAGTCCCACTAGTAATGTTTCCCATCTGATTGTTATAACTATTAAAAACAGTTAGCAAAATTGCTGAAATAAAGTTCTTAAAATTATGGATTACATGGGACAAAAAGTTGATCTCATTTATACTGTATATAATTCCAAAACAGACTTTTAAATTTTTATTTCTAACATAGTATGATCAGGCTCATCCACAATACTAAGCCATAATAGTGGGTTCACATAACATACTAATAGAAAAAACAAACTACATTTACAATGTATTGTTATTATGCAGGTTATTTAAAACCTAAACCATAAGTTATGAATCTACAGAATCATACTTCACCTACTATATACCAGTTGGAGTATTATTCAGAAGCAGGAAATTCAATACCAATTAACAAATTAGGAAATCCCGATTGCCCTGGTTCAGATGTTCTTGAGAACTTTGGCTTCATGCAAGTTAAAATCATTCTCAAGATATCAGAGATGAGAATGTGAAGCATTTATGACACCTATAGTTTAATAAACTATGATTTATGGGGCCTGAGATAATCTAAATACAACCATAGCACTGTTCATCTTTCAGATAAAGTTAATGTAAAAACAGGAAAAACTTTCCTCTTCTACCAAATAAGAAAACACATAGAATTACTAAAGTTCTTCCAATAATTAACTCCAATAATTTATCCAAATATTCTAAATCAGAAATGGAGGATCCTGATCTTAATCTCAACATACCATTTACTGCCCCTTCCCACTCTTAGCTGTTGTTTCAAGTCACTAGTCAACTTTTAAACAACATTTCTATGTCTTTTGCTATCTTTTCTTTTTCCCAAATGAAGGGCAAGTAAATTGAGTTTTGCCTGGTTCTTGAGTGGTCAGAAAGAGATGCTTGCCAAAGCTATGTACAAGTTGTGACTGACATGTCAGGAAATATAGCAACTGTCCCTATCCATTGTCATCACTTGGTCTCAGAAGACAATTTGGTGGAACAATTTGACTCTTGGTCATATCCTGTTTCCTACCATTGACAACACATTTCTAAATAGTTATTCATTTTTTAACGAAAAATATTCTTTTGCTTTTAACAGAATGCTAATAGAAAAGAAAGGTTGCTTCTTCAACTCTTACATTGCCCCAGAAAATAGACAAGCATAGAGAGGGCACTAGATTAAAAAAAAACTGAGGATGTCAGCTGCTTTTGAGTTAACTTAAGTGACGTATCAAAAAAAGAGAAGAAGAGGGAGAAAAAGGATGCATATGTTAACCATGGAAATACTATTTTAGCCATTTTCCAAATTTTATCAGAGAAGTTACACTTTCCAGCAAAAAAATAATTTGGTTTCAAAATACTTAACTTCAGTGGGGATCGACCAACTGTTACCACTGATAGCCTTAACTTCTGCTTTTCTGTTTAAAACAGCCAATTCATCTAACCACAATACCACATATTGCTGACAAACTTTTGTAATTCTACAAAACAAAAATCAGCTTGAATATCATTAGAAGCAATAACTGTGGCTTCACTTTTCTCCCCTAGTCTAGTAGAAAGTCTAAACAAGTCTCTTGTTTTACACTAAAATTCAAATCTATGACTTTTCCCCTCCTAAAAGCCAGAAGCCCAAAACAAATCCTGGTTTTAGATTTTGGTTTTATCAGAAAAGTAAGTAGGGATCACAGAGATTCCAGTTTGAAAGCACATTAATTAATCCATAGATGGTTTCCTGGCTTTGTTACTTCTCTCACTGATTATAATAACAAAGTAAAAATAAATTAGATAGGATACACTTGAACACTTGTTTATTCCTGATAAATGGAAGAAGACTGTCATGGCAAAAGATGATATATGAAAAAAAAAAGATCCCTGAAAAACTCCTTTTATATGCAGATATTTTCCTGAATAAAGGATTTGCAGCAGAATGAAAAATAGCAGCCTGTACTGTTTAGAATCTCATCCATTCTGCTCTACCAGATCACATCAGCCCAAACCAGTGAGAAACAACGGCTTTAATCAGTAGTTCTACAGTTACCATAGTGATGAGTACTGTATAAAATCTAGATACAAAATTGTAATTAGCATTCCTGCAAAGGAAAATTGGCAAAAGTTGAATTGTACCAAGCTCAGCTGTTTATAATGTCTATTATTTTTTTTATTCAACAGCTGGTGAACACAATTGTCTCAACTAAAGTATGATTGGCTAGTTTGAGGCTATTTGAGTAATGGGAACCCCATACTGTAATTTACAATTCGGTGTGTTGTCTAAATCCAGAAAACTGGATTGACTACACCATGGTTCGGTTAATCTGGATGCAAACATCGCAATGGTGGAGAAATGGGTTTTATAATTTTGGTTGAACTGCTTGAAGCTATAGGCGTGATTGCAGAGAGGAGTAAAAGATAATGTCATGATATCACTTATGCACTACCATCAGATGTTGTTATGTGACTGTTTATATAATTATTTCATTTGAATATCATCAGGCATATTTTCACATTACTATGGTTTGTAATGGATGCCTATGTGAAGTTAATCAAAGATAATTGAGGAGAAACTGGAAGATATTCACTCAAGTTTTAAGTTCTTGGGAGTGTTGTAACCACATAGGATGCTATTCCTTTATTAAGGAAAAAAAGCAGACTGTCAAACTTTCACTTTCAATTCAAGCAGTATTTAGGAGCTATATGGTAATCCACGCTATCAGTTGACTTGGGACCTAGATATACATGGGTTGCCTATTACTAAAAATGGTGGACAGTGTTCGCCTTCCTCTGCTGAACTGCTGAAGCCGCACAATGCTTTCAGGAGCCGCTGAAGCTGCACGTTTTTAATATACAGCCTGTTTTTAGCAGTTCCAGAAAGCACTACGTGGCTTTAGAATTTTGTTGGCTCAAGGAAAGACAATGCCATCCACCATTTTTATTAATAGATCATCCATTTGTAAGTACAAGTTCTAACATTCATACAAATTTGACAGCATTATGAATAGGATATCTTCTTAACCTAGGGACTGCCTCTATGTATATTTTATGAACTTGGAGATGCTATAGTATTTAACCAAATCACTATTTTGACAACTAGAGAACTTTTAATATTTGAAAGCTGTTTCATGGATGGGTTTACCATGATTACTAACCCTTCTCAGATTTTTTTTGGGGGGGATGGTGGTGGTAAGAAACCAGTAGGTTTTTTAAAAAGGCCTTTTTGAGACTAGCTTTTTAGCAGCTTTCATTCTTTCTTATGCTATGTGATCTATGAAGTTACCGTAACAAGTAAAAAATTGGCAGTATTTCCTACCTAATTAAGACTCCTTAGCACATTTTTATGATCCCTTTCCTAAAATGAAACACACATGCTTTTGATTTGTCTTATGTAGACAGTCATTCATAAAGAGAATCTCTGATGGTCCAAGAATTAATTTTAACGAAGGAAGAGTGTTTGATCTGTATGTTCAACTTGACTGTTATATTTCAATGGCTATGGTTAACAATATAGTAAGGTATCAATTTTTACAGTGCTTTCCTAGAAATATATCCTTTGAAATGTAGAACTGTCTTCCTGATATCTTATTGGAATTATGATCCAGCAATCCATTTTAAATGCTAATACAGGTAGCCCTCGACTTACAACCATTGATTTAGTGACCATTCTAAGTTACGACAACACTGAAAAAGTAACTTATGACTTTTTCACACCATTGTGGCATCCCCATAATTACATGATCGAAATTCACTTGGTAGCTGGCATAGATTTATATTTATGGCGGTTCTGATAAGTCAAGGCGGAAGCCAGATTCACTTAACCACCATTCACAGCCACAACTGCACTTAACTGTGGCAAGAAAGGTCGTAAAATGGAGCAAAACTCACTTAACAACTATCTTGCTTTTTAGTGGAAATTTTGAGCTCAATTGTGGTCATAAGTGGAGGACTACCTGTAGTGTTAAGTGATAATCAGAAATTAGCCAATATCAAACCAGAACATAATTTAGCTTTTTTTTCCAACCCCACTTTTAAAGACTAGAAGTATTTTAACTAATCTATCAGATAATTCATGGGCTCTGACAATACAAACATTTACAGGAATAACATCAATAAAGGTGTTATAGTATGACATAAGGGAGGAGGGAATCCACCTAACCATGACCACAATTCTAAGTACTTTCTTATTAAAAGAAAAAAGGTTTTACATCATTGTTATATCACATAGCAATTTTTACAACTGAGATGCCCCAGTACTTTTACACTTATATTTTATAGTATTTGTTCATATAATGATGATCTAATATCATCATTCAAATCAGAGCCAAAACCACTTGATTATTTTCCAATTACATTTCAATACTCTTAGCAGGAAACATCTCAGAACACACCACCAGAGCAAACAGAATTACATATTGAATTTTGTAGCATGTTAATGCTGCAAGTTGGTAGTCAAATATCAGCAAATCAATATTAGAAGCACGGTCTGTCAAGAATCTCTCACTTCTCTTCCTTTCCGATACAGCCCACCGTGCTTCCCCGCTCTGGCTAGCAATCAGGGGAGCTGTTAGTAAATCCTAACATAAAAATGTTTACTAAGCAGTGAATCTACCATCTTTCCAAGGAGCATTTTACGTCAAACAATAACGACACGGGGCAACCAGCAATTAACGTAATACTTTTATTACAATTTGGGCAACCGGAGTAGGAGACTGAGGAGAAAAGTGCAGGTATTACATATCCAGTTTGAGATATCTCCCCTCGTACAGACACGCAGGCGTACACGCAAACGTACATGCATACAAACACACACGGAATACCAGCCACTGCATAGGGCTTCGCAAAACATTCCCTCTCTCCAACATGTATCTTTTATCTCTGCTTCCATGGGATAAATCCAGAAGATGCATCCGGCCCGATCCCGGTTTACACCCCTCCCTTTCTCTTCCTCTCCACTCGCTCTTTGCGTAAAGGAAATGGAAATTGAATAATTAAAAAAAAAACCGGGTCGGCTTTCTTATTGCATTCCGGGCCTCCGCCCCGGAGCAAATCATTCCCCACACCTTCCAGGCCTTGCTGAGTAAGAAGCAGCCGTGGGGTTGGGAAGAAAGGCCCGGTGGGTGGGAGCGGGAAAAAGAGAGGGACACATAAGAGACTTCGCCCCCGGTGCTACGGCCGTCTCTTTTCCTCCCGCGCCCCTCTCCAAGCAGCCGGGAAATGCTTCCTTGCGCGCGGCCTACAGCTCGCACCTTCCCAAAGCCAGGCCGGGAAATTTCCAACAGCTGGCGGAATAAAGCCAGTGTGGAGCGAGCCGCAGGCCCGGCTTGCTCCCCGCACAGCTTCGCCCTCCCTGCCTCCCTCCCCGCAGACGGGCCCGCGCACCTTCTTAATGTTGTAGAGGCGAGTCAGCATGCCGACGCCGCGGTCGTTGAGGATGGTCAGCTTCTCGGCCAGCTTTTGCTGGCTGGGCTGCAGCACCGAGCGCGACATCCTGGGAGAAGAGATTGAGAGGCGGCCGAGGGCTGCGGCTGCTTACGGGGGAAAGCGGCTCGGCGCTGCCCTGATGGATTCCCCCCCCACCCCTCTCTCTCCTGCTTCCGCCAACCCCTCGCCCGTCAGGCAGCCCGGGCCGCGCTCACAGCGCCTCCATCGCCCCCGCTCGCTCCGGCCGCCTCCGCCACCGCGCCGTGTTTTTTTTCCCCCCAACCCCCCCCACCGGCGCTCCTCCCAATCTGGGTCTTCGCTAGGCGTGGCGGCGGCAGCACTAGCAACAGCAGCGGAGGCTCTTTCGCCCGGCCGCTGCCCACAGAGAGGCCGGGCTCCTCCGCTCCACGTGACGCGCCTCTCTGCTGCCCCTCCAGGGTGGGAACCCGGCAAAGGAGCTTCCATTTCGTTGGAAATTCCTTGAGAAGAGGAATAATAATAATAATAAAATAAATAATAATAATAAAATAAATAATAATAATAAAATAAATAATAATAATAAAATAAATAATAATAATAAAATAAATAANCCCCTCTCCTAGAAAATGAAATATTTTAGGAAATATTAAAAAGGCAGAATATTTCCCCTAAAAAGAGAAGTAGAAACTCAGAGAGGCAGAAACTCATCCGCCCCCACCTTTGTGAATGGGCCATTAAGGCCTGAGCCAGTCTATTCTACATAACAAAGATCTGCCCCCTTCATGCAGAGCCATTTCATTGCCACCACGTTTCAACCAAACTTAGCACGCAGACAACCTGCAAAGCTAGCTATGGCCTCTGACAGCAACCAGTCAGGATACTCTTCCTGTGCCCCAGGAAGTTCAAAGCCCAGGAGAGAGTATAAAACTAAGGGATTCTCAGCATCTCTCCCCATTTTTTCTTCACCCAACATCTTGAAGCATATGATCCCTTTTCTGCTCAGTACCTCAAGCCATGAGATCGTGTTCAGGGTCTCAAGCCATGTGATCCTGTCCACTATTAAACCATCTTTCCAAACAGCCTCCATGTTTCCAGTGTCTTTTTCCCCACTTGGAACTGAACCCAGATGGACATATATTCAAACAGGCACAAGTTTTTTGTTTTTTTAAAAAAAACTTCTGTAATTTGATATTACAGAAATCCAAAGCATCTGCCTTTCTCTTTTCCTAGCGTTGGGCAGAAGGTAGAAGTTGTGCCTGCAAAGTCTAAGAACACCTTGCCTGGGAACAATGGGTAGATTCCGGAGAGGCTGGCTTGGTTGATGGGAACATTGAGATGTGCTTACATCTCTTCCTTGCTTCCTCCTTTTCTTCTCTACCTCCCAAAGAAGCAATGGAACAAACTGGGTAGATGAGTGTAGGAATAAGATACAGACAGTGGAAATTCAGGATCAGACAGTACCAAAATAACTTCTGTAGGAGAGAAGAAATGAAAGCACAAACCACACTATTGAAGCAGCTGGAGGATGAACAATTATTTCCTATATTGTATGGAAATGTCTGCGTCTGGCTTTTTTATTCAAAGCTCCCCAGGAAAACCTTAATTGTGGAAATATTTTAAAAACACAAACACACACAAACTATAAATAGNATACCAGGACTTAAAAATCGAAATTCAACGACTATGGCACAAACCAGCAGTGGTAATTCCAGTGGTAATTGGCATACTGGGTGCTATTGCAAAAACACTGGAATTACATTTAAAACAGTTAAAAATTGACAAAATCACCAATTATCTCTGCAGAGATAATTGACTGGACCCAGATGGAGTTGGACAATTTGGACAGAAAAACAAGGAAGCTTATGACAATGAATAAAAATTGCACTTGCGAACAGACTGAGGAACGAAATGGTGTTTTCTTCCATCCATCAGCAGTCTCAGAATTAACTAACTGGAATCTCCAGGGATTTGAAGGGGAAATTCATGGCTGAGAGAGGGGGAAATTTATGTCAGAAAAACAATTGTCTTTGAAATGATGGGTAAAATAAAAATTAGCTAAAATATTGCATAGCATTAGTTTTTATTTCCCAGGGTCAGTGGTGGTTTGCTCCCAGTTCAGCCCAGTTTGAAAAAACTGGTAGTAGTGGTGGCGGGAGGCCCCGCCGACCTGTTCGGATTCTTCTGCACATACGCAGAAGCATTGCGTGTGCACCTGAACTGGTAGTAAAAATATTTGCAACCCTGTCTGGGGTCATATGATTACCTCTTACAACTTTCTGACAAGAAAAGTTAGTGGGGAACTGAGATTCACTTAACAACCGTGTGACTAATTTAACAACTGCAATGATTCACTTAACAAATGTGGAAAGAAAGTTCATAAAATGGGGCAAAACTCTCCTAATAAATTTCTTACTTTTAGGAACATAAATTTTGGGTTCAATGTGGTCGTAAGTGGACCACCTGTATACAAATTTCTAGCCAGCATCCTTCCCTATGAAATCTTTCGGCTTCAATAATGTACAACATGTCTTGAATTTGGGGGGCGGGGTGGGGGGCGGGAAGAATGTTTACTATCCATAGCCAAAAAAATTATGTTTTAAGAGGGGTGAAAAGTGCAACTCTATTCATTTATTTCATAGGAAAAAGATCCAACAATATTTATAAATCCTTTATCTTTACTAAACAGGAACGTAAACACAATTGTAAGACTGTTCTGGCCAAGACTGATATCCACTTCCTCCCCAAGAGGAATGTGGTGTATGAGGAAATCTGCATCTGTAAGAGAATTCAGAAGCCCAAAGAAGATGTTGCACAACTGGTACTTGTACAAACAGGATAAACACTGGGAGTTTGTCATTAACAAATAAGAATACCTTAAAGACATGTAGGTGCTTGAAATTCTTACCCAGATATTTTCTGAACGAATGCAAATAGTTGACTATTTCTTATTTAGTTATAAAATGATAAATATTTTGGCAGTGCTTCAAAATTAACTAAAAATATTTTGTTGAGTGTAAACAGCTGAGTGAATAGGAAAACCTTATATCAAAAATGGATTATATTACTGTGTGGCAATTTATAAGGAAAGTAAGCTTAGATTTTATTCAACAAGATCAATGAAATCTACCCAAACTCTAGTAAGCTAAGTAGAATGAATATTATTAGAAATGTCTCAAAGCAGGTCAATTACTGTAGCATTTGAAGTTGGATTTTGTGTTGAAATGTGATTAAGATGAAGCAATGAAACCATATTTTATAGCCATTGTTTTTTGTTGTACAGGTTTGAAAGCTAAACACAACCTAGTTAGTAATTAGACCACTATGAATTATCAGGAATATTGTCAGGATTGGAAAATTTAAGAAAAAAACTCTTAAAACAGTGGCAAACCATTCCTGCATTACTGCCAACAAAATGATGCATTGATGAAATCAGTAGTAATTGAGCTTGAAGGATGTTTTACCTTTGGTTTACCTTACTTTAGGCTTCTCTGGTCAACTACAACCAGAAGTATAGATAAGTTAAAGTGAACTCTGGTTCCAGCATCTGGATCTGGAGATGAGGGCATAAGGCACCTCCTTGTTGTGGGAGATGAGTATGAAATGGGCCACAAAGGGAATTAGGCAAAGCAACTATCTAACATGTCAGATCTTGACATAGCTATTATGGATAATTATTTTTATTTTTAAATTTGTAAGCCCAGTATTTCATTTATTTGATGTTAGGAAATCATTGAGTCAGTGGTTGTTTTTTTTTCATAGGAAGGACTATGTAGGATTAGGAGTATCTGGAGAGTATGCACATATAAGCAAACTCATATTCCATGACTACCAGGGAATAAGACAATGGAAGGAATATTTCATAAAATTGTTCTGTATCTTATCATTTGGAAAAGATGAGCACCTGAATTGCCTAGCTTGGGAGCTTAATAGTGGCCATCTTCCCTTGACAAGATTAGAAAGAAGCCTTAATAAACATGTCCTTTCAAATTTAATCCCACTACATGTATTTCTTTCCAAAAGAGGCTGTAATTGCAGCAACCTGAAGCAGCATTCACAAGTGGGGTAAATCCCAGCTCCCAACCATATCCTCAAACAAATGATTGACAAGCATGCTAAATCCTGTTCAGAGCAAAATAAGAGAAAAAACTCCTGAATCACCTTAAGTATGCTTTAAACTCTCAGCTGTGGATTGGGCAGTAGCACGAAGACTGCATAAAACAGTTATAAGGATATGTTTGTGCCACAGCTGAGGGTTGTATGAGCCATACTCAAATTTTATTTAACTTAATTTATATGGGCAACTGTGAATATTATTTTGGATTCCCAAGTGCACAGTCAAATTTAAAGAGTACATAGCACAGACTTGGAATAGACATAGGTGAAGAAAACAATTTCCTTGCATTCGTTATGGAATTTTCACCTCAATCTCTAGGATGTCAAGGTGGAATGGCAGGGGATGTCTCCTTATTTTATTCAGATAGCTTTGGATGATTAATTCACAGTCAACCAATGAGTGCCACATCCTAATGATTTGTACCTGGGTTTCTTCTACACCAGCCCAATTTAATCATTAGTCTACTTTTATTCAAAAAAGACATTAATTTCCCAAATAGTTATTGCAGCTAATAATTGGATCCAACATATATAAAGGTAAAGGTTCCCCTCGCACAGATGTGTTCCTGACTCTAGGGGCCAGTGCTCATCTCTGTTTCAAAGTCAAAGATCCAGCACTGTCCGAAGACGTTTCCATGGTCATGTGGACGGCATGACTAAATGCCAAAGGTGCAGAGAACGCTGTTACCTTCCCACCAAGGTGGTCCCTATTTTTCTACTTGCATTTTCAGGTGCTTTCGAACTGCTAAATTGCCAGAAGCTGGGACAAGTAACAGGAGCTCACTCCATTACGTGGCACTAGAGATTTGAACCACTGAACTGCTGACCTTTCTGATCAACAAGCTCAGCGTCTTAGCCACTGAGCCACCGTGTCCCTTCCAACATATATAGATGTACGGACTACATAAGTGTACATATATGAATATGAAGGTTTTCATATTATATCCTGTGTGGTTCTGCCTTAAGAATCAAGTTTCCTGTCAAGGGGGCATTTTCCCAAACGCATTGAGAATATTCCCATAATTCAGCCAACAATGGTTTCCTGCCTTATGGGGATTATAGAATTTGCAATCAATCAATACTGCTGGAAAAACCCCAGCAATAG